GCCATGGGGGGTCACTACGGTGGCTCACCATAAGGGGGCTACGGGCCTTACTACAGAGGACTCCCTAGAGGGGCTCACCATAGGTTTTACTACGCGGAGTTGGCGCACTAAAAAGCGCATCTATTCTCATACTATGAAGGCCATACTGTATATAAAGTTCATCGTATAGGTAGCTTCACGCAATTCAGGGGCTACATGGCAACTAAATTGAAGGCATTCGGTGCAATCAATATACATAGGGAAGCAGTGCAATGTGGACTAATGAGGTTATCTAGGTATCAGTCCTACGGAGAGACTTGTTCGTTCTGTCCCCGGTGCAAGTAATAAAACCAACGCGTTGGGCTAGGAAGCTTCGTTATAGAAATCAAAGTGCGCATGCTACATATACAATGACAATGTGACAGAAAGGACCAGCGCTGATGAATACATGACAGACTTATATGACCACTAGTTTATCACACCTTAACGGGGCTTCGTTTTTGGTCGTATGGTAATACTATGGATTTCGCAATACATGAGCACTCTAATAATTCACCTAGTTTGTCTCCCTCGAAGTGCCAATTTCTCAAACAAGACCAAATGAAAACCGCTTCTTTGCTGCAAAAGCAGCATTTTTCAATTTCTTCATCTCTTTTTTGAGCTCGGTTATCTTCCCAGGAGCGGCAGTGATTGCGCGCTCTGTTTCCTCCACCCGCTTTTTGTAATATTCCAACGTATGTTTGTCATCAGCGAGTTTAAGATGCAGATTCTTCAAGTCGTCTTCACGTTTTGCCGCGAGCTCGGACAGCTCTGCTTTGGTGAGACGACGAACGAGAGCGGGCAGGAGCAGGAGAAAAAGCAGCAAGAGCAGCTGCAGCTGCAGCAGACTAAAAATGACTTAGCATCGACTGTAGTAATTTTGCAATAGGTGACGGGGTAGTAGTTWCTTGAGATTTTTTTTTTTTTTGTTCTTCTTGCTGCTGCGGGCGGGGCGAGGTGAAGGTTCGCGCCATTGGCGCTTTCTCAGAAATTCATCGGGTTCGTCATTGACCTTAGATAACATGTTAGATGTCATTCTTCGATCATAGCAAAGAGAAAGTGTACTCACAGGTTTCTCAATGGTCTTGCCACCACCAGCGGGATCAGATATGGGAGGGGAGGATGCCCGGGCAGACTCCAAGTTAGCTGACCGTTCGAGAACTAATAAAGGCACGGTGAGCTCCACGGATGATTATATGAGGTGTTGCTGGTACGAACTTACTAGATAAATCATTTGGATATCACCATAGTATTCTAGAGGAGCAACATTTCCAACTGAAAACTGAAGAGAAAGATGAAGAGAAAGATGAAGAGAAAGATGGAGAGAGAGATGGAAAGAAAGACAGAGAGGAAGATATATAGAAAGCTAGAAGATCACGTGTATAGAAATTGCTGCCTAGGGATATTGCTCGGATATGTTGCCCGGGGCAAAGAAGCGACGTCAGTCTACCAATTGTCGCTTCGATTTTGCTCCAACAGCTAATATTATCAAACAATCAGAGAGGCTTGCTCATGGTCGACTCTGTTTGTCCGAGTTGCGTTTGTCTACATTGCAGAATGCGCCCTATTCACCATTATCAGCGAGACAGGCGCACTAGGCAGCAGCTTACATCTCGGACTGGGCCTCAGATCCTCAACAGATCTTGACTAATTTATCCGTACCGCCTCTTTGTCTCGATACTGACTTTTTCATGACCGTCGCATCAAAAGGTGAACTCTAAACTCGTTCTAAGGCCCCTGTTTACCTCATATCGAGTCAATAATTCATCTTCTCTGATATTGGAGGACTTCATCGAAGCACCAATTAGATTACCAATACAACACATACCATTGTCAACAGCGTGGTACGGCAGTATTGTTTCAGCAATCTAAGGAGAAGCACAAATCTTACCATTTAAGAGAATACCCCACAATTGCAATCAACAACGTCCAATCCAGTCCCGCAAATTGCTAGCAAAACGCTAGCAGGGTGGTGCTGAGACCGACACATCAACTTCCGGCACATCGGATCTAACTGTTGGAGGATGGGGACAAAGACTGATGATGCTGGGCAGAATTAGCTGCCTTGTTACGAAGGAGGAGAGCATAAGAGGAGATAGCATACGAAGCTGAGGCAAGCTCCTCAAGATGGCGTCGTAAAGCCAGAGGCGTCTGCGTCAGTCATCCATAACACTAGTAACCAGACTGAAGAAGAAGGGGATAACCAAAGGCGATAGTATATCATTGACTCGAGAACAATAATAATAACAAACA